ATTCTTGAATATTGTTTGCGGATGTGTGTCATTAAAACCTCTTTACCCTAAGGGCTACTCCAGATGAATAAAAGCTTGGAGAGACCTGAGCGAAGCGGGAGGTGGAAGTCTTTCCAGAGGAGGAAGTCTTTCCGGACTTGCCCGCCTGGTCCCCCGGTATCGCAAATTTATCTTGTGTCTTTTTGTTCATTTGTTGTGCGGCTCCTCTTTCAGATACCGAACCCTTCTCCACGCGGGTCGTGGAGGGAATCACTCAGCACCTCAGGATAAAGTAAACATGACCTGCACCTTGATTTACAAGGCCATGACCTTCCACTTACTTCTCCAGTATGTGTATGTGTATGTATGTATAAGTGTGTACACACATATATATGATTTTTAAACCTATAAGCTCTTCAAGCTACAGCAGTACTGAGGGTTTCTCAGTTCCCTGAGTGAGCCATGCTGCTCCCATAAAGGCCTTCCATTTGGTGCTCCTTCTGACTGGCTAACACAACACATTCTTGTAGTTTTAGGCAAGACTCCCTCCTCAGCCACCCTGCCCCGTATCCCTACTCCAAACACCACATGATACTATTACCATGTCCTAGGGCTTGACACACTGAACTGCACTTCACTCACCTGCCTCCCTGCTCTTAATTGCGTCTTCCTCAAGGGCCCAGCACAGTGCTGTGCACATAGCTGCACAAGTGTGCTCACAGAGTGACACTGCACCCAACTTTTATCTCATAAATCAGCCAATAGCCGGGGAAAAGGGGGGCAAGGGGCTATCAAAGCAGTGAAATTAGCTTCAGCGCTTCAATGTCATAGAGAACCAACAGATGGAGATGCAAAGCGGTAAATGCTTAGAAAAGGCTCTCAATGTGCCAGGCTTCTGGCTGGCCTCCCGGTAGGGGGGCGTCAGGACGATGTCCTGCCTCTTCACTGTACCTCTCTGCCCAGCTGGCCGCCACCTGCCAGATGCTGCCGGGCTCGCCACTGCTGAGTCACAGCACAACTCT